CTCCACAAGGTCAAAACTACTTTCATAATAACACAAGACATCACTTTCCTTTTTTACTGTGTCAATACTTGCACAGATGGTATAGAAGCAGTGGTGAGTAAAACTGCCGGTGCCTTCACACAAAACAAGGCATTAACATTAAACCATATGACTAGTTATTATTTTCTTTACTACCATGAACTTATGGTTATTAAAAAAAAAAAGCAAAGCAGTAAAATGTACAGACGGTCCCTGATTTACAGTGGCTCAATTTACAATTTCTTGACTTTGGTTAATCGGGGTATTAAGTGCATTTTCCAACTTAACGATGTTTTCTACTTACGTTGGGTTTATTGAGACTTAACACCATCTTAGTTGAGGAGCGTCTGTATTGATTTTGTTAAAATCTCAAACCTCGAGGACACATCCCTTTTAATATTAATAGGAAGTACACATGAATCACTTCTGCTGCATACTGAAGTAGGATGCCTGTCTTAGGGAAAAGCAGTTCTGTGTCTGGATGAGTATGAGCTGAACTCCAGTCACTCTGAAAGGACAATTGACAGGCAACCTATGCTTATTCACACTTGAGTGTTTGGCAGATGTTTTCTTGAAAATGAATGAAATTAAACAAGCCTGACACTTCAAGGATAACAACTGACTACATTGTTGCTAATTATAAAATTTGAGCTTTCAAGCAGAAATTAGAATTTTGGAAAACTAGTACCACCACTGTGGGCTTGACAGCTTCATAATACTTACAGACTTTTCTGATGAGATTGGTGATATTATTAGTGATGTGGATGGCAAGAAAAGGGGAGGAAGGGAGTGAAGTGTATCAGCATTTGGAAGAAACATGTTTTCCAAATGACAAACACCTGACGTTACAAAACCATGCATGAGTAAAAGATTCATTCAAAATACAGAAGAGACCAGTGGATGTTAATGTAATAGTATGAAAAGCTCACTGATAGAGTTTCAGATTCCACATTGCAGCTAACTTTTAAGAAGTTACCCCTTGTCAAGTTTTGGTGTAGTAACAAAAATATCCCTATCATCTAAAAAGGGTACTAATATACTCCTCCTTTTCCTAACTTCTTATCTATATGAGAATAGATTTTCTTCCTATACTTCAATCAAAGCAACATCTTGCAAGAGGTTGAATGCAGAAGCATATATGAGAATCCAGCTGCCTTCTTCTATCAAACCAGATATTGAAAAGATTTGCAAAAAATGAAATAGCCAGTTGTCTCATTAATTTTTTTTTTTCCTTTGGAAAATAATTATTTTTCTATTAAAATATTATATTTGTGTTTACACATAATGGGTTTATTATCACCATTTTTAATGAATTAAATGTTTTAATATTTCTTAGTTTTAATATATAATATGATAAAATCAGTAGATGTAATCCACATATACAAAACCTCTTTGGGGTTGTCAGTTTTTTGTTTTGGGTTTTTTTTTTGTTTCTTTCTGAAGACAGAGTGTCACCATGTCGCCAGGCTAGAGTGCAGTGGTGCAACCTTGGCTCACTGCAACCTCTGCCTCCCGGGTTCAAATGATTCTACTACCTCAGCCTCCCAAGTAGCTGGGACTACAGGCATGCGCCACCACACCCAGCTAATTTTTGTATTTTTAATAGAGCCGTGTTTTCACCATATTGGCCAGGATGGTCTCTATCTCTTGACCTCATGATCCACCTGCCTCGGCCTCCCAAAGTGTTAGGATTACAGGTGTGAGCCACTGCACCTGGCTGAAGTTGTCAATTTTTAAGAGTGGAAAGGGGTCCCAAAACCCAACATTTTGAGAACCACTTGTCTAGACATCACCCTCCACTCCCTCTCATCAGTTGCCAGTCCTCAACATAGACGCCATGTTCTCTATGAACCCGTGCCCCATGTGAAATGCCTATGAGCTCTGTGTGAAGTGTCCTTTCCCTTTCACTTAAATGTCATCTCTTCTGTGAAGCATCAGAGTGAGAAACTCATGCCAACCTCATTCATTCCTCTAATGAAGTGTTTGCTGAATGACAATGCTGATCCACAATCCTCCATCCAATCCAAATCTGAAGGTTCTAGGAAGGTGGTGCTTGTGCTGTATCTGCAGTGGGTCCTGGGACAGCATAGTCTACTCAGACACATACAGAAACAGTGAAATGTATGAGTGTCCCCAGTGAATGGGACAAGTAGAGATTGTAAATACCCACCCAACATCAGTTAGGCAGGCTGTTCCCAAAGAAGTTAACTGCAGACTTTCAAAAAGAATTTGTATCTTTCAGAGGGTTTTTGGATTTCAGGATTGCAGATAGAACATTGTGGACCTGTATTTAGATTAATTCTCTTTCTCGCCAGCTAGACTCTAACGTTTTAGAGAGCAAGCTTTAGTGCAACGTTTGTTTCGATGGAAGTGCTAGAAATACACAGAATAAGTGAATGCTGTTACCTCATAAACCATGAAGGACTCTGATAACAAATAGTGTCACTTTATTCTCATGTCATTTTATTTTTAGTGGCAGCAAGCTCATAAATATTTTGTAATGGTATAGCAGCTATGGGGAGATAACTCAGATCTGTGGTAACCATCATATATTTTGCCTAATTATACAGATTCTAAAAAAAGTACTGTGTGCCTCATACACACACACACACCTTGTTTTATCACACTTTGTTTTATTGCACCTCACAGATATTGTGTTTTTTACAAATTCAAGGTTCGTGGCAACCCTGTGTCAAGTCAGTTGGCACCATTTTTCCAACAGCATGTGCTCACTTTGTGTCTCTGTGTCACATTTTGGTAATTCTCTCAATATTTCAGACTTTTTCATTATTATATCTGTTATGGTGATCTGTTATCAGTGATCTGCGATGTTAGTATTGTCATTGCTTTGGGGTTCCACGAACTGCCACCATGGAAAACAACGAGCAATAAATGTTGTGTGTGTTCTGACTGCTTCACTTCCTGCCCATTCCCCCATCTCTCTCCATATCCTTGGGCCTTTCTATTCCCTGAGACACAACAATATTGACGTAGGTCAATTAGTAATTCTATAATGGCCTCTAAGTGTTCAAGTGAAGAAAAGAGTCACACATCTCTAACTTTAAATTAAAAGCTAGAAATTATTAAGTTCAGTGAGGAAGGCATATTGAAAACCAAGAGAGGCCCAAAGTTAGGCCTCTTATACCAAACAGCCACACTTGAATGCAAAGGAAAAGTTCTTTTTTTTTTTTTTGAGATGGTGTCTCATTTTGTTGCCCAGGCTGGAGTGCAGTGGTGCAATCTCGGCTCATCACAACCTCTGCCTCCCGGATTCAAGTGATTCTCCTGCCTCAGCCTCCCAAGTAGCTGGGA